AACAAGCCAATCGAGGCCGCGAATTTCTTGATTTCGAAAGAATCCATTTACGAGTCTAGTTATATGACACAAGAGGTCTAGCTTTGTCATCCACAAAACCGAATCCTGGGCAATAGCTTCTGCCATAGGTTACACTATTGGGACCAAGACCCTGTCAAAGTAAGTGAGTAGTCATAGTCTCATTTTGTAACAGCACAAGCTCTGTTGGAGAGCCTGGGCATATACTACCCTACATTGTAATTGTGCCTCCTCCAAAATGGTAAACAGACAAGACCAGAGAAGGATTGTATCACTAACCAAAACTTCAGGTCTTGCTTATTAATCTTGCTGAATCGTGATGCAGTACAAATTTAGAGTCGTCTGTGATCTTCCTTCTTATACTTACTTACTTCCGTGGCTCTACTGCCATTGTAGGGCCTTGACCTCCACAACATCACCTTTCCAATCTTCCATATCGGCGGGCCCGGCTTCTCCATTTTCCAATGCCCATCTTCCGCTAATCGTCCTCCAATCATTAATTCATCGACGTCCGGGCCTTCCTCTAATAGTCTTTTTGGGTATCTATCTTCACCCATCTCTTCTACCTGCCCAAACCATCCTATATGGCTTGATTTAACGTAAGTGACTATGTCTGGTCCTTTATACAGTTCTTGGAGTTCTCTATTGTTTCTTATTTTCCATTGGCCATTTATAAATATCGGCACAAAGATTAGCCGAAGGACCTTCCTTTCCCAGATCCGGAGGATCTTCTCGCATTCCTGTGTTAGGACCCATGTTTCACCTGCGTAAGTGACAGTTGGTCTGAAGAAAGTCTTATAAACCATTAGTTTTGCCCACCGTGAAAGGTTTCGAAATCGCTATGTTTTCCGTAATGCAAAAAGACATCTGTTTCCTGCTGCGATTCTTGCTTAATTTTTACAGTGATGTCATTTATGCACGTCACTAAGGCAATAAGATATTTGAAACTGACAGCTTTCTTAAAAGTGTAGTGGAGCAGTTGCATGCTTTCCTGTCCTTCCTGTCTCCCACTTTTTGATGATATCATATATTGGGTTTTTTCCTTATTTATTTTAAGACCCATTTTTTTCCCATCATCTTGAAACTCCTGTAAAGCCTATAGCGCGGCTTTAGATCTCGACGATATTATCATGTCATCAGCATACGCTAAGTTCGTTTGTTGTTGTTCCTCCTGAGTTTGTCTGTATTGCTATAATGCAATATTAAATAATAAAGGAGACGGAAAGGATATCCTTGGCGTAAACCGTTCACTACTTCAAATTCTTCTGGTAGCATTTGTCGAATAGAGAAGATGTGGTCTATTGTACTTCTTCCTGGTCAAAAGCCACTTTGGTATCCACCAATATTTCTCTCTGTCCATACCATAATTCTTAGGTTTATGACAACTGAGAGATTCTTGTCGACAGTGGACAGGAGGAAAATAGCTCGATAATTATGGCAGTTTAACCTGCCTCCCTTCTTATGTAATGGGCACAAAACTGCCACATTCCAGTCGTGTGACATCTACATTTTCGTCCAGACGTCATATATAAGGTGGTGAATCTCCTCCACCAGTGCCTCGGCACCATATTTCACAACCTCATTCGGAATTCTGTCTATTCCATGAGCTCTGTTATTATGGAGTGCTCCGGTTTTGTCCTCTATTTCCTCTCTGTCTGGTGGTATTTCTTCTTCCTTCAAAGCCACTGAGTCTCCCTCATAATAATGGACTAGGTTATTATTGATTAGTGATGCTGTGTCCGGGTTTAATAGTTCTGCGAAAAACTGCTTCTACCTTTCCAAAACAGATATTTTACCTACTACTGTATTTCCCTCACCATCTTTAATGAATTCCAGTCTTGATATATAATCATTCCGAAATTCTCACATGCTTTTATAAAATTTTCTGGTTTGTTTAGCTGCAAAATCTTCCTGAAGGTTTTCTAGTTTCATACAGCCTTTTTTTGCTTGTATATGGCCTTTGCAACCTTTCTTTTGACATTATAATCTTCAGCTGTTCGGGTCCTCCGTTGAATCATTTTCTGTCTATTATTGTTCCTTTCTTCAGTGACCCTAACGCAGTCATCATCAAACCAGTCATTTTGGTTTCTTTTTAGTGTGGTGCCTGTAATATCCTCTGTTACTTCTCTGAGTACATCTTTAAGATGTTTCCACTTTTCTTCTACATTCATATTGGTAGACACTTTTAGACCTTTCTTCTTTTATATATATGTATGTATATATATATATATATATATATATATATATATATATATAGAAGGAAGTTAGCCGACTGTTCTATATATCATGGGTGATAAATGTTCAGGAGGCAGTCATTATAAAAATTTTATTGATGCCGACGTTTCAACCCAAATATGTGGGTCATCACCAGGGCTGAAAAATTGTTTAATACATTCAGAGATATAATATTATAAGACAAATAATGGTTAATAATAAAAAAATGGTGATTGATTATTCATGAAATAGGCAAATGAAATATGTAAAAAGTCATATAAACTAAAAATAATGCATATAATAAATTTATAATATGTTGAATTAAAAAATATGTTGATGACCTCTTATTAATCCTCAACCCTCACGCTATCCCAAACATAGTTTCTGCATTCAACTTACATCACCCTCGACTCCCCTTTACCATTGAAATGGGATCAAATAATTTCCTCCCATTTCTTGATCTCCTCATTTCCAGAAATAATGATAATACCTTACCCACCAATTGTTACACCCAACCTACTATATATATCTACATATAAAAACATTATTAATTTGGAATAATTATGTCTTTACACTCGAACATGTATGTGATATTTTTCGATGAAGAAGCACTGAACAATTCGATTGAATTCAATGTCTAAGTACCTTGGAAGTTTAAAGTGTTCATAGTTTAGAAACTTCTATAATATTACCGTTGCCAGTAAGGGGACTGTAATATTACACGTATCTCCGTTAAAGTATCCAGTTCAGATATCGGATATGTAACCAGCGGTTGACATAATATGTTTAAAATATTTCATAGATTATTTTGAATCAAGTCCTGTACACTTTTGATCGGATTGTGATCGATAAATAATTTGTTTAATCAGATTTTCTGAACTAGGAAACGATTTAAAAATAGAGGTTGAAACTTTTATAGCTTCCATTTTAACAGTTTCTATGAAAGAAAAATATGGAACTTTTATGTAATTTATTTTTTATTATTTTATTGAAATTTACAACTGTAAACATATATACAACTAGTAAATTTGCTATATGAATATATTACATGAAGGTACCTGTGAAAAAGCTACCCATTGGTAACACTTTAAAGATAAATTAATTTAGGAGATCCCTTGACCATCTTCTTTTCAGACGCCTCGGAGGGTTGTCAGGAATTGTGTTGGATAAAAGGTTACTAACTAGAGGATGGGGTGACCAAAGAGTTTGGAATGAAAAGATTTATATGTAGTTTGGGCCAAGTCTTCCACAAGAGGAATATTGAGGTCTTTTTTGTAATAAAGATCTTACATTCAGGTAAAAGTTTAATTTTGTTTATTTAAGTTTTAAAGCCAAAGTTAAGTTAAATAAGATGAATCACTTTTTTGGGCACTGCCTCTATTTGATAATGTTTGATGAACTTAAAAATAAAATTTGATTGCTGGTCAATCTAATTTTAAAAACTAATTACAGAAAGCTCCTAAATTACTATTAAATAAAATAAAATAAAAAATTGAAGTTTTAATTAATATATCGGTGAGATTGGCGGTTGAGTTTGGTGGTTTCTGAACATTGATATATCGTTATTTATGACAACATAAAGCATCGTGCGCGGTACTAATTGTAATTGGAGGTTTGTGGCCTGCAGGCCTAAAAGGTGTGGAGACCTCTGCATTAACAATGACAGTTCAAAATTATGGTTTGTTCCACAACCATCTGAGACAGTATATTGTTTCACCTTAACTTTACAGTAGCAAGTCTGGCTCAAGTACAAAAGTTACAGGAAAAAAACAATATTTTCTGAAAATAATCGTTTAAATTACAATATATTTTTAATTGAGGCGGTGGCCGATCTTCTGGGGCGCTTGCCACTTGTTAGAAATTGTTGTAAAAAACTTGTAAAAATAATTAATGTTAGCCTGTCAATAAAGCAACTGTATAAGAGAAATATTGAATGAAATAAAATTCAAATAGTTCAAGAAATAAATTTAATTTCTTTAGGGGAAGGAAGATGACTTCATTTCCCGGGGGCGTCGAATGTCTAAGGACGGCACTATATATAAAGTTATATTCCTAAAAATCGTTAACTTATCCTTATGTATTATTTCTCAAAGTTTTGTTTTTTGGTGCGCTATTTAATCGTTGTCAGATATTTTATCAAATTCAATAATTGGGTAATAATTTTGAAAATCACCTTCATTACCAGCACCGAAAAATAACTAAAGGTAGTATTATTTAATTGATTGAAGGGACAATTATGAATGTATTCTACAATTTCAACTTTTGCATTTTAATTTTGAAACCCTCAAATAAGCAATTATAATCATTTACCATCAAATATGCAACACGAAATTCCTCAGTATTTGTTCACCTGAAAACACTTGTTCAGAAATTTAAAAAATGTATACATATTTGCATAAAAATTCAACCCTTACGTTGTAATATGGTTGCATTTACTGATTTTATTGTTATATTATCATTTTGTCACTGGAAAATATAACACGTGAATTATTTGCACGGACCAACTAGTTTAAAATAAATTTCTGAAAGTAGGATAGTATGTGAAAATTAAGTGGTGCGCGCACCGCACCAGGTTTTTTTTTTTTGTACTACGACATTGATCTGTATAATAACGTATTCCATCATCTATTGGTGGTTAGATTAAACTAACAAAACTAAAACTGAAGTCAGTATTAGTTTATATTTTTGGTTTGGAATTTATAAGTAAAAAAAAAAAAAAAGGCGTATATACTGTTATCATTTCCCTATACAAAATATTATCATCTTCAGAAAAATGCTATCCTAAACAAACGAAGCTCGAAGATAGGGGACTTAGACAAAACGGGCCCGAAGCTAGAAAGATTACGTAAGCTGTGTTATATAACCTAAGTCCAGGCTGGGTCCAGTACTTGCCGTGCGCTCTACCTGTTCGTTCCTCCGACTGTTCTGTCTGTCTGTCACTGTCTGCGTCTGTCTGAGTCCGTCTGTTCTTTAGATGACTATCCACGAAGAACACGAGCCTCTTCTTCAGGCAGCACCCAACGGCGGTTACCGGAGCACTTACGTAAGTCACAATCAAATTGGTTTTAGTTGTCACCTGATTCGCGATGTATTCGAATATTTTTTAAATGTTTCCTATGAATATTTAAGTTATTCAATTTTAATACTTAGCCCATTATTGTCAATACCCATCGCATACCTCTGACCACGAATACGTTAGAAAAAAACTCGTATTCAAACTATAAAACAATGTCATATTATAAAATAGTTTAAAATAAACTAAATCATTTTAAATACTCTTCCATACATTCAATTTTCCATTATAATAAATGCATTTAACAGATAAAAATGAAGTGATCAACATTAGGTCTTGTAGGTACGCAAACGGATTATAACGGGATAAGAATTCATGCTTAAAATTGATGTCAAGTTCACGTAAACAAAATTGTAAACACGTGTCTGCATACGTTATGTAATCGTACGAATATTGAACTTTTGACTTGTAAATCCGTGCTGATTAATTCTCACCTGATCAAACGTACAACACTAAGAAAATAAACTACATACGAAAACCTAGTAATCTAATTACATACATACACTCTTTCACGTTTAATTAAAAAAAAAATATATCCAAAGATTGGATTCTATTAACGTAGCTTTGAAGTCACCATAAGTATGGATTTTGTTGACAACACCATAATTATCCACAAAATGAAGGAGTCATAATTTGAATTCTTAACGTAAGTCTTTTCGTATTTTCGTTTAGCACTTTTAAAAATAGTTTTGCAGAAGAATTTATCTAGCTACTTATTATACAAAATTTATTTGCCCTAATATTTTGTGACCTATCTCTTGAATTTTCTTTTGATTATTAAAAATATACTGGTCATCTATTGGTATTCAAAAAATAGGAAACACATTCATCATTTATAATTTGATTATATCTTCAACTTATAGTAATAAAAAAAGAAGTCAATAGTACAAAGAAAATATATGCTAGCTTTGCTGAACAAATTTTTGAAGAGGGTACAAAAACAAATAATTCAGTGAAAAATTCAATTTATTTTTTTAATTGAATAAAAAACTAATATCCTTCCTACCCATACATCGATACATTGTATGAAATTAATATATAAATTCAATGTCGATTTTTGAGTTTTTATTAATTAAAACTTTTTAGAGAAATTATTTTTTTTTTTCGGATATTATTAACTTATTACTTATAAATTTTATCACATCCGTTTCATTTCCTGTTCCTAGGAAAAATATTTACGCTATTACTGCGTATTTACAATTTTTTGAATGGTCTTCAACCCCTATCTTATCCATGCTTAGAAAAAATAGAAATTTTTACCAACCAGTTCTCTAATTTAATTCTATTCATTTGTTTCTCAGCGGACGATTCTTTTAAAAAGTAATTATCATTAATAAAAATTTCAATATTTATTGAAGCAATAAATTTGTTATAACAGTGGGAAGGTTACAATGTTATCAGATTGTGATAATGCCAAACACGTTGCATAAGTTCCATGAATCGATTTTTGCATAGCTGATTTAGAATATTTTCCTTTGGAAGATACATGTGTGAATTTTCGTTTCGAAATGACTTTAAACGCTCAAAATAGTCTTTAAACCATTGATTAGATTTTTCGTTATGTTATTTGTTATTTTAACTGATAACTTGTTCTGTCTAGATCAAATCAAAATTAAGCTCTAAAAATGTTGATGGCTAAATTTAAAAATATTAAATATTTTTTTCACATTTAACAATGCATGTATGATGATACACTGAAACGCCGAAAAAGAAAATGATCTTATGATATTTTAAAATAAGAGATTTAGAGAGCTGTGGATGATTTCCTTTTCAGAAGGCTTTTAGGCTTTTCAGAGTTCGGCGCCCTTGTGAATCTAAAAATAGGTAGAGTTTTTTTCCCACTTGAAACTCCGTTTTTGCAGGTACTAAAAGACGTTTTTTTCCACAACTCTGAGATTGTAGGATTAGCTACTTCTTGGGATGTTCGGAACTCCATAACCAAATTTAATTTTTGAAGGAAGGAAGACTAGGATTCGTGTCGAATATAAATTATTATGTAAACAATAAGATAAATTTTTTAAAATAACATTTAGGTTTTCAAAAATTAATGTCCTTTTTAAGATGTTGAAAGGCATAGTAATAAAAAATTGTTAAGTTTTATTCGACTACTTTGTTTATGTTCTTTTCTATGATACAATAATAGTCCAGAACCACTCACTCATGTTTACTTTACAACTATCAAGTACCGATTACTTCAATTTTTACTTATTTCTGCTAAATAATATACCTTTTCAACTTCAAAACTCATTTATTTTCTTTTAATAGGACTTCACATAATACAGATAAATACTATAAATATAATTAAAGTTTTTATCTTTTTCTCAATTTTAACTTTGATCTACCTATATAGGAAATATATATATATATATATATATATATATATATATATATATATATATATATATATATATCCATATATCCCTATTATTAAGAGAAAGTATTATAATGTTGAAGGGAAGTCGGAAGACGGCAAAGGAAGTTATCAATAGTTAATATTATTAAGATGAGGTCAGGTCTGTGAGAAAGTGCTCTTTTGCTGAAATCTGTTATTGTTCCCTAAATCTTGATAATGGATCTTTTGTCCAGCCGGTACATTCTAGATAACTATTTCTAAGCTATCAGAGATAGTTGGACCTGGCTATCTAGGGATGCTTTGTTCTTTTATCATTTGAGTTCTGAGAAGTGTCAATACAAGATTCACACATGATACAATATATGGATGGATATATATATATATATATATATATATATATATATATATCCATATATCCCTATTATTAAGGAAAGTATTGCAATGGTGAAAATTTTCGAATCCAATTTTTCAACGGAAATACAGGTTTTGAGGTCTCCTGAGTCCAAATAACCAAGTCTCTCAAAATAGCATGTGTGTGTGTCTTTGGACAGTCTAGCTCGAAAACGAAAAGTCGTACGAAACTGAAATTGTGTATTTAACGTAGTTATGTGGTTGGGATATTACAGAAACTTTTTCGTTAAAATCATCTAATCGAAAGTGCAACTTTATATATTCGATTTTACACATTTTTTTACAATTTTCTCAAAAACGGCTCTAAAAAAATTGATTAAGCTTGGTAAGTCAATGCACAATTAAGTGTTCTTTAGTATCAGCCAGGTCTCATCCTAATAGATGTCACCTAACAGGGCTTAAATGATTAAAATGTTTTCCTCTAAAGTAACTTTAATTTGGTTTATTTTAAATAATTAACTGCCTCTCATTGTTAGCAGTAACAAAAGCAATGCTCAATATAAACTATGAACGGATTTGATAATTGAATAAAGGAGAAAAGCGAAACAATTGTTTTTAGGGTGAAAATGAATTTACGTATAATACATCGTTGGTAAGCTGAGAATTTCAGAAAAAAATAATATCTAACATACAAAATCGTAAAAGATAATGTAAATTACCGAAAAAAATATAAATAATAGTTTCTGAACGTTAATATTATTTAATGGAAACCTAATGTTCTAATATAGACCTGGAGGCCGAAAAGGCTGTAGTATTTTAAACAAATTTTTGAACCTAACAGGCTGAAAGTGTTCCTCTTAAATATTAAGAAAAATATTCGCCTTCCAGCTCAGACAGGTCGATTTAAGGGTTTAGGAGTATTTGAACCCATAAAAAAGTACTAAATTTGAGGCATTTTAGGCAAATTTTCTCTTAATGCAAATTATGCAGATCCGAATATTGGATTCTGAGATATTTAAATCTATAGGGGCGGTTCATGAGTTAACCGGTTGAAGTATTTTGGTTTATTATTTTCAATTTTGAACCGTTGCGATCGAACAAAAATTCAAAAACTTAACCCTCCCCCTCTCAAAATTTGAGGTTTCACGCTTCAGGTTACGTAGAATTCGAAAAACGAATAAAAATGTTTTTGTCCTTCAGCCGTCCACGGATTTTCTCCAGTTATGGAATGGACTAAATCCATAACAAATAATAATAATAATAATATTAATTTAACTTTTATTTTAATTATTGAGTTTGTTAAATATGCCAATTGGTGAATCATGTATTGTATTGACACTTCTCAGAATTCAAAGGATAAGAGAACAAAGCATCCCTAGATAGCCAGGTCAAACTATCTCTGATAGCTTAGAAATATTTATCTAGAATGTACCGGCTTGACAAAAGATCTATTATCAAGATTTAGGGAACCATAACAGATTTCAGCAAAAGGTCACTTTCTCACAAACCACACCTCATCTTAAGAATATTAACTATTGTTAACTTCCTTTGCCGTCCTCTTCCGACTTCCCTTCACCCCCTTGCTATTCTTGGGCATATAACCTATAAACGTGTCCTCAAATAGAAGAAGGTTAGGGAGTCCTGGTTCAGGATGTCCTTGTATATTATCTACTAAGATATATATATATATATATATATATATATTTGGATAATATTAGTAAGTTCTATAAATTATATGGAACATACACATATAATTATATTATACAGGATTTACTTCTTAATTCACGTCTTAACGTACTTGAATACATAGGAAATCTATCTGTAAAATATTTTTTGAATGAAATCTGATACTAACCAATAACCTTCCTAAAAATTAGCTACTTGCCTTCGGGCTGTGTAATCGATATATCAAAGGATATTCTTTAAAAAAATATCTAATTCATTTAGCAATTATCATATAATTAATATCTATATTAAATTAAAATAATATAAATATGTTCCTGATAGTAACATGATGTTTATAAAAGCGTTAAAAAAAGGAAAGAAAGTTATTTCCTTATGAAACTAAAACTCTGGCGCCAGACTTATTTATTTATTTTTTGTCCTTGTTTTCTTAGTTTCTGTTTAGTTATTGATGTCTACTTTTTTAATTATTATGATATATTACAGAAAGGGAAGAAAATAAAAATAAAACATTAAAAGTTATTTATTTATTTACTTTAAATAAGTTATTATTATTTTTTTTTTTGTAATTGAAGTAATATCC